GAGAAATTTGTTTGTTTTTATCATGGAGGAGTATCAACAAAAATACAAAGCATATGTATATATGACTGAAATGATAAAATAATTACCTCCAAATTTACTTAAACTCACCTCTGCTTAACCCTGGATTATTGCCAATGAAAGAACAAATTTTTCTCATTAGCCTTATTGCTTTTATATAGATTGATAGAGTGATGTTGGCTCTGTGATTTTAAACAGTTTGACTTAGAGAAAAATAACTGTAACAGGGAAGGTTTGGGGAAATAATCACTGAAAAACAGAGCATCAGTTGAGGTCCAATCAGGAATATAGAAATCATACTAGGTAACCAAGGGAACTTAATATAGGGAAATGTTAAACAGGGTTGGAGGGGATCTCCAGATCAAAAAGGGAACACTAAAGTAACCCAGAGATATTAACCGTAGAAAATTGTTACTACTTTTAGAGCTGGGGGAACAAAGGGTAAAGTTGGGTTATCAGAACTCAGAAGCTCAGAGAAGGGATCCTTCTGAACTGGCTCTTAGACCTCTGAGAAACAGGAACAGCCTGGCCGGGGTGGTACCTTTGAGGGTCATGACGAGTCTAGCTTTTAGAGTGTAAAAGTGGGAGGCTGAAACCAAATGCTAAAGACAGGGTGACAGGCTATTACTGCTGAGGTGATACTGAAAGGAGCAAAAAGCAAATTCCCTTCTCTCTTACCTTTGCCTTCAACATTCCCTCTGTTGATAGAACCTATTGGTAGAACCCAATAGGAAGCCAGTTGGTAAAGGAGACATAGTTTGCAGATTCCCAGCCCCAGCATTACAAAACCAGTGTAGAACTATGAATATGGAGTGGAGAGACAATAGTCTGATAGCAATTATATCAAGAGTCTTAAGCAATGGTCAGAGTAACTATCTCCCAGCTTAAAACCTCAACATGATCAGTCATATACTCATGACCTTAAAAAATTAATATGCTTTGAGTTTGCCATTAGACATGCACTTGAGTATGTCACAATAATTATCATTTAATCATCAAATATGGAAGCTATATGGCAGAGATTATTCTAGGTGCTTGAGTTTTAACAGTGAAAAAAATAGATACCTGCTTGCCCTTGTGGAACTTTCATTGTAGTGAAGGGAAATAGGACAATAAATAGAGACATAACATGTTAGATGGCAAGTACAATGGAGAAAATAAAGCAAGTTAAAGGGATAGGGATTGGGATGGAGACAGCTCTTTCATATGGGGTGGTCCTAGAAGGCCTCAATGATAAAGTGAAATTTTAGCACAGACTCTAAGGAAATATGAGGGAGAAAGTAGTATGAATATACAAGGAAGATCTTTTCAGTAGGAAATAGTTCTGATTGATAAACATGAATGTAGTGAAAATTTTGCAAGTAGGTGGATTTTTTTGTGGGTTTGCAGTTTATCTTTAAGTATTTGCATACTTTAAAAAGTTCTCTTTTAGAAGACTGTGGTTCTAGCTGGATAACATCAGCTTATTATCAAATACAGTACCAAGTTTAAACATTCCACAAAGCATTGTTCATCTCTTCCACTGAGGGAAAACTATGCTTCTTCACACAGCAGGTTATACAAAATTTGCTGATGGTAAGGAGAATTAGCTGAAGTATATAAAATAATATCGTACCTCTCCTATAAAATATTTCCTTTGGTTCAGAGGCAGCTATGAAATTCTAATAATAGTCTCAAACCTTTCATTTAGATGATTTGAGTAAATGTAAAATGCCCAGCACTGTACATAATTACTTCTTTGTTAAGATGTCAACCTTTGTTTTTTTAGTTAAGAGTTAATGAACCTTGATAATTGGCAAACAGTCTTTGAGGCGGAAAGTGGGATGGACACCATCAGTACTCTTAGCCCAAAACAATGAAACCACTGTTGGCATTAGGATTATGTTGCTTTTTGTTCAGATAATTTTTTTTCTGGGAAAACACATGCAAACTTCAGTATTCAGTAGAGTCAGAAATATTAATGTTTGCTCTAATTAAGTATTCCTTCAACCAATTTGTTACTAATAAATGTGAACTTATCTATAAAGTTAAAAAACTAAAAATGGTATAAAACCCAGTAATACTCTCATGTTAAAGGTTTTTAAAAAATCAACAGTAATTCTGGTTCTTGAAAAAAATGACTTGTATATATAATATAAAATCTTTTTCTGTAGCCAGTAAAAATTTCCAACAGGAAGGCTTAGGGTGGGTTTGTCTAAAATTCATTCATCTGAGGAGAAGGTAGTTTAAGACTAGACAGTTTTAGAAAGGAGAAATTTGAGTTACCTCAGTAAATTTTTTTTTAATTTAAGGAGTAATCTTGAGAGGTAAATGGTGCCCATTGAAAGGCAAGAACTTGGTTCTGGCAGGAAACCCCACTGCACATGGTTGGTAGTATTTGCAGAGCACTTAACCTCTATGTCTAGGTTCTTTCACCTGTGAAGTAGGGGTAATAGTAATTGCTACCTTTCGTGGGAAGTGAGCATGTGCTTTGACATCTCTGGTTCAAGATGCTATATCAACACGAATTATTATTACTATAACATAATACATTATGTACATAAAACAGTAGCATGGTGCTCTTTTAATGCTTATATAACATCTATAAATATTGTTCTTTCATGAGCTCTCTTCACTTTAGGTCAGAGAACACAATCATAGCATGCCACTACTCAATTTCACCAAATATGGAGGAAATATATTTTTTAAAGCTTCATATCCTTTTGAGAAGCACTAAACCTGCTAATCCCTTATGGACTCTATAGCAATTGCACGATGGCCCCATATTAATCCTTTCCTACCTTTTAAAATGTGGGCTAAATTACTTTTCTGGAGACTGGAAACCATCAGGGAAAGCCTGGGGTAATGAAATTGGCTAGTGATAATAAAATTTTGGTTGTTTAACATTTAACTGGAGTCTCAACAACGTGTTAAAGTGCTATCTAAACAGATAATTAGCTAGTCCTTGCACAGTGGGCTCTAAATTTAGCAGTGAAATTAGGTTTAGGGAATGGGAACACAGGAAAAGGAATTTTCTCAAGGGAAACGATAGTGTCAGCACAGCTGAGGAATGTCACAATAGCTACATTTTGTCAATTATGATCACCATCAGGGGATCTCTCTGAGCGATGCAGGACACGGTTTATTCATAAGTGCATCTTGAGGGTAGGTAATAGAAAGCCTTGGCTGCAGGAGACAAGCTTACATGGGATGACAGAGGCAGGCAGGCATAGGGAGGGAGAATATGAAGGTGGTGGAGGGAAAGAGGTAACTGGATTGAGAGCTGGGAGTCAGGATGGGAGGTGGAAGTTAAGAAAGAAAAAAAAGAGGTGGGCAGGGGGTAGAATGACGTGTTGCCTTCGAGGTGAGTAAAACACTATAAGCCAGTGGGCAGAGGGTGGGAAGACCCTAGTGCTTGAAAGCCGAGGAAAAGCTTGGTCTTGGCCACAGCAAGTATTAGTTTAGCTGCGACAGTCTCATCTCTGGGCGGCTGATCCTGGTTAAACTCTCTTCTTATTGGAGTACATTTGTGGCTATCTGGTGGAGATGGTGGGACTTACATGAAATTAATGGAGTCAGGCCTGAGGACTGGTGTCCTCCGCAACCAATCCGCCCCCCGCCCCCGCCCCGGACTGTCCAAACTGTCCATCCCTCTCCTTCCCCCGCGGAACTGCGAGTGGCTGTGCTCCAAGGTCAAGCCACTGCAACTGTGCGTGGCGGATGGATGAAAAGGGCAGGGCTGTCAGCCATCTGGGGTCATGGTGGACCACAGACGCTCCTCTTAGGGCAAATGTTTTATACTTCCCGAGGTTGCTTTCCTGCGGTCAGTTCAAAGGAAAACAGGCAAGAAAATAAAACTACACGTGCAAACATGAAAATGAAACAAAATCAAAGAAAAACATCAACGCACTTGAAGCCCTCCGTTGGGGGAATCCATGGCCTCCTGTTGCCAGTCGCCCGGCGCGGAAAGTGGACAGCCCGGCGGCCGGAGAGAAGCAAGAGCGAGAAAACAAACCTTCGGGAAACCCTCTCCTCGCCCAGCTCCGCTGATCCTTTCACCAACCCTCCCTCCCAGAGAAAGAAGCAGGAGAAACGCCTGTGCAAACGTGCCTCGGCGAGCGGGGGACAAGCGGGGCTGGGAAGAAGGGAGAGATTGGGAAAACACAGCTGTCCCGGGGAGCAGGAAGGAGAAAGTCTCTCTCTCCTTCAGTCTCCCGCGGCCCGGCGAGGTGGGAGACGACTAGTCCAGCAGGCTGCCTCCAGCTTCCCAGACAGGAACCTTTAGCGTGGGCAACGGAAGGGCTGCCTCATCTTTCCTGCCCCTTCCCAGCCCCTCCTCGTCCCTGTCCCAGCCAGCCTGAGCGCAGCCAGGGAGCGGAGAGCACCCAGCGCGACGGTCCCACAGCCCTTCGCCTCGGTCTGCGCTGGGCCGCGGTGGACCCGCGAGGGGCGGAGTGGGCGAGACCATTGGAAACGCTGGGAAGGGGGGTACACGAGGCAGGAATGAGGGGCGGGGCCGACTAACAGATTCCAGATTTTCGTGTCCTTTTTAAAGCTCTGTTTTGGGAGAAACCCTGTATCAAAGTGGATGAAGAGAGTTTTTTTTTTTTTTTTGAAAGGGGAGGAGCGTGTGTAGGAGGGCGGGGGAGGAGACGCGGCTTGCACCCAGGGATCAGACGGGAGCTGGAGTTGCGCGGGGAGGGCGGGCGAGTCACAGCGCCCGCTCTGAGGGTCGGTTTCCTCTCCCCCTCCCGCGTGGGGCGGGGTGGTGCGTTCCGAGTTCCCAGGAGTTCGAGGCGGGCGGGTGCCGGGGGGAGGGGAGTGGCGGCGGCGGCGGGCGGCTCCCGCCTCAGCCTCGGCAGTGGCGTCGGCGACGGCAGAGTCGAGGCAGCCGCGAGCGCTCGGCTGAGTGTCAACCGGCGGCGACGGCGCAAGAGCTGGGAGTTGCGGACGCGCGCGCCGGACCTTCCGCCGCCGCCGCCGCGCCGCGGCTGCTGCTGCCGCCGCCCAGAGCCTGAGGCGCCGGGGCCGGGGGAGAAGGCGGGGCGGGCGGGCGAGCGGGCCGGGGGGAGAGTGGGGGATGGCGCGGACCCCGGGGCCGGCCCCGCTGTGTCCCGGAGGCGGCAAAACACAACTTTCTTCTGCTTCTCCCCCCGGAGCCGGGCTCCTGCTGCCGCCCCCGACGCCACCGCCACTGCTGCTGCTGCTCTTCCCTCTGCTGCTCTTCTCCCGACTCTGTGGTAGGTGAACCTCGGCGGCTGGCGCGGGCTGAGGGCGGCGCGACCGAAGGTCCAGGCGCCGCGACCGGGTCGGCAGAGCCACCCTCGGGGCGGTGAGGCGGTTGTGTTCGGCGGTTGGCTGCGCGAGCGAGTGCCGCGGACTTTGGCTGGAAACTTTTCGTCGTGCCCGGGGCGAGGCCGGGAAAGGGCCGGGCCGGCGAGTGCGGCGCAGGCTGCCCGCTCCCCTCCCCCGCGGCCGCGCGGGTCTCCGCGTTGATGGCCAGGGGTCGGCGGTGGTGCTTAGTGCGCGGGGCTCCTCTCGGTTTGCTCCAGGGACTGTTACTTCTTCGCTCATTCGCGGGGAAGCCGAGAGCACGGACTTTTGGACTGCGGTTAAGGTGCTGGGATGTCTGTTTGCCGCCTCCCATTTCCCCCCTGTGAAATTTGAGCTGTGAGCCCGAAACCCTATGGACCAGAGCCCGACGGATGGAATGAAGCCTTCGAGTCCACCCCTCATGGTCTTCTACCCTGGAGAAGACACCATCTTAGCCCACCCTGCCGCAGCATCCCCTACAGTCAGTTTTCTTCCGTCCTGCGGCCCCTTTTTGCCCTGGCAGAGTCTGGATCTCTATGGATTGAGCCCGGTCGTTGCCTTCCAGTTTGTGGGACATCTCTTATTTTAGCAAACCCTATTTGTCCCCAAGACCAAGATTTACGTGTTAAATGCTTGATTGCATGGACTGTGCCTTGGCTGTTCTAATCAAAACAGCCCCGCGCGTTTTTCCCCCATTTCTTTCTTCCCCCATGTTAGGTTACTGTTTTCCTGTCACATTTGGGAGCTAGTCTCTTTGTAAGTTCTGTTCCCAGGTATCGGAGACTAGAAGCGTACTTGTTAAGGATCCTGTAAAAAACACATCCGCCTTTCACGCGAGAGAACTGGACGTAAGGGATAATTAATGGAAGGCGGTGGTTTGGGAAAATAAGGCCACCAGTCTTTGGAGATTAATTCTAAATGCCTTTGGGTAATATCAAAACACTGAGGGACGTTATTTGAGGGCTCTTGGTAAGGAAGGTGGAGGGATAAAGCTTAAGCTTGTTCGAAGATTGGTTTACAGTGTTTCATGAAACGTTAAATAGAAATTTTTCCGATATTCATTAAAAGCAGAGATGTGTGTGAATTTCTTCGATAGTGTGACTTAGAAGAAAGACAGTCCTGAGTCAGGGTAGTTGGTTATGAGGGAGGCAAAGTTTTTATGATGAGATGGAGTCCCCCCTGTAGGCTGAGAATTTCCACTACCAATTCACTACCGCGTTTCTAGCACTGTAGTGATAAAGTTTATGATTTACACGGAGTATAGGTGATATATGGCATATTATTTAATGTACACTGTTTCTATATTCTGAGTCCCCAAATACTTGGTTCTCAGTACTATGCTTCTTTAAATTGATGCAAGATTCTAGATTTAATTTGTGCGCTGTCCTTTTCCATTAAGGAAGATTGAGGATGCTGCTTACAATTGGGCGAGGGGATAGTTGGAGGGGATGACTGTCCTGGCTTAGTTTATGTTAAGGATTGAGAGAATATTTGTACCTCAGCAGAGGTAGTTCTAGTTAGGCAAAGCCCTATGGATGACTGAAGCTAGGGAACATGCACAGCTGATAGAGTAGAGAGAATTTACATAATTCATAGTGATTGTGGCAATGAATTGTTGATTACTTTTTGAAGGAACACATTGATTTTCACATGGACACAGAAGAAAGGTTTTTAAAAAAATCTCTTCAATGTGGTATTGGAGGGACTTGATATTTTATTTTAGAGACTAGAAATTTAAGCAGCGTAGACAAATGGACTGTGTGATTTAGAGCAGGTGTAAATTGAACTTTTTAGAGTTAACTCTGCTTGTAGTTGTAGAGATAGACACCAGTTTTGTGTTACTGTGCACTGCTCATTTAAAGAGCTGCTTTTTTTGGCTTATAGTGTTATAACACCCTAATTTGTGAACCCTTATGACAAGTTTTTTCCATCAGCCTTTATTTTAGTATTCAGTCTTTGAATAGGGCACAGTTGTGACTTATGGACGCTTAATAGTATGGAAACAGAATTTTTTCAAGTAAGCTGTTGATCTAACAACTTGTTGATCTAACTACTGTTAATACAGTAGTACTAACTTTCATAGTACTACTTATAAGGTTTGGCTTGTACTTACGTTTGACCGAGTAGAGCCAGTTTTAGAGTTGAAAAGGTAAAAGCTTTAAAAAGACAACTCTATCTGATGATTTGTTGATCAGAATGCTTCACTTGTTTTATCACATACAGATTTTTTTCTTTTTGCTGCTATTTTTGACATATTGCTTATATTTAGCATGGCCTTACTTTTGTTTAACTTTATTATGCTAATTTGACTGTTAAAAATATTCCTCACAACTGGTAGACCTGATATTCTGAAAGTTATAAAAATATTTGTATCAGATTTACTGTTTTTTTTTTTGTGGGGGAGCAAACATTATCTTATTTGGAGAACTGAACTCTTAAAATGAGAATTTTACAGGTTGACAAACTCACACTTTGTTTTTAAGCCTAACAAATTCCTAGGTATAGAGGTCAAGGGGACTAGGTTCATAACATCATCTGACTTGATAAAGACTCATTTATTTAATTCCGAAATTACGTGTTTTTTATGATGGCAATGATCAATTCATAAACGATCAGATTCACCTCACTTTTTCTTCCTACATTTTTCTTGGGAAGTAGAGAATATCAGCAGGGATATGGCATTGACAAATGAGAAGATGGACTATTTGACCTTTGTAAGGTCCCATTTGACTCTGAGATTCTATGCCTCTTTCCATTTTCAGTAATGCTTTATCTTAAGATGGATGTTTAGTAGAAGATAGAAAAGAAGATCTAATATGATATGGAACCTTTAAAGGCACTTTGAACACTTTCTATGTACTAAATAGCCACTTGGGGTATAACACATGACTAAGACAGAGTCTTGGCTTCAAGGTGCTTACAACTTTGTAATAGACATAAAGGAAAGATGATTATAGAACGGTTTGGTATTTATGATAGAGATATGCACGAGGTACTGTGAATTGACTGGAAGGTGGATACCTAACCCATTTGGTAAAGACACAAATGCGAAATGAGGAAAAATATCAATCACTTTTAAAAATCGCTTGAGTCAGATCTTATTGAAATGTCCCCTCCCTTCATCTCTCCAGAAGGTTATGCTTCAGTTGCTAAAGAGGCAGTTTGATTCTGAAAAAAGAGTGCCACTTACTAGCTGTGAATCACTGGCAGGTTATTTAAGTTTCTCATCTTTTAAGAAAACAGATAACATTATCACTTTGCTGATTAGGTTCTTGTAAGGATTAAATGAAAGAATAAAACAAAACACTTAGAGTGCATGGAATATAGTAACAATTGTTAGCATTTATTATATTGCACAGCATAAACCAACCAGATTGGTATTGGTCATTCTTAAATTCTACACTGATGTCCTGAATAATTGAATTTTCAAGTTAATTTACTTGTTGTATTTGCACTTTACATCTTTATATTGAGTGTACAGCTCAGTCAGTGACTCTAAATGTTTGTTTAGTTTATATCAGATATACAGATGACAAATTTTCAGTATATTAGAATACAGTCAAACTAACTCAACTGTGTCATTGTATGGAGCCTGGTTGACTCTTCCCTTAATGATGTCCAATGCATTTTAAGATTTGGCTATTCCATAAGGTCACCTAGAATGTTAGTGATTGTATTGAAAATGGGAGTTAGAAGAGGGAAACACAGTTTGCTTGTAGTTTATCAACTTACTGATAGTACCAGGTTGGGGCCTATACTATAGTACATCTTGCCTGTATGAATCTTTGTGCATCCTAAACAGATATTACTGGAAAGTAAACCAAAGTTAGAAGTAAGCAGAAAGATCCAATCTTCCTTACTTGAAGTTAGCTACAGCATCGGAAATAGGAATTTTAAGAGCTGGGCAATTGTGTCTGTGTGTGTATTGTATATATTTACTGTCCTACGTTGTTTATGTCACTTACACTTAAATATATTTATATATTTACAACTTAGTGACTCAGCAACTCTGATGTATGTTTTGTTTCTGTATGGTTAAGGAATAAAACTTATGGGTCATTGCCAGTTATTTGAATAGTATTGAAAAGAAACCGGCTTTGGTAACCTTAAGAAAATAGTATTTTGGCATTCTGTAATTTACTCATTAAAATTAGTGAGTAAATAATAATAATATATTGCTGTAACATATTCTGAAATCTGTTAAAATCTTCATAAAAATTGATAATAAGCACTATATGATTTGCAAAAGATGAGACATTTAGTTAATAATTACTATAAATATGTAAATGTAGGATAAAATAAAATAACCCTAAAGTCAGTAATGGAATTTTAAAGATAATTTGCCAAGCACACAGATGAAAAGTCTAAGCACCGTTGATCTGTCATACTTTTGATTACCTCATATATTTTTGTCTAAAATTGTCCTTAATTCTTGAACCCAAGATTTTTATTTTTCTAATAGGCTTTGACATAGTTTAATCATTTATTTAAATAAAATTTGTTTTAAAAGGGTAGGCTTCAAGTTATTTTTCTGAAAGGCTCATTAATTATAATATAGCTTATCAATTTCAAGTTTTGGTGAGGGCTGCCTTCTGTGAGTCTAGATATAGCCATATTCAGGTGCTAAAGTTGTTTTAAAAAGGCTGTTGTATACTTACATTGTAAATTTTACCTATTCTGTTTAATATAGCATCCAGGAGATTGTTTTTCTTGCAAGACTGTTGACTGCCCACCATTCATTCTGCTAATTAGAATGAGTAGGGAAGGCTTGTTACATAGTGAGTAGATATTCATAAACTGGAATTTAAGCCATGTATGAAAACATATCAGCTCATAATTGGATTTAATAGCTAAGAATTGATAGTATACTTTTGAATACTTCAGACTACTATTTTGTAGGTTTAGATTAGTAAATTATACATATGAG